GCAAGGCGGTTCGTGTGGGGACCATTGACCCATTTAACCCCTGGGTCTATTACAATATGAAGGGCCGTTTGTAATTAAAGATAAAAATGTTTGCAATATATAAGAAATGATGCAATGTATGAAATATTCAAGATATATAGGAAATTTTGAAATATATATATACGGAACTGTCGTAATATATTAAAAAACTCTAATTATATAAGAATTAATGTGTGGATAAATATGAAAACCATGTCAAAATATACAGTGAAAATCGTGCAATATATAGGAAATTTCCAAAGACATAAAGACGGAGCGCTCGTATCTAAAAGCACGGGGAAAAAGTGAAGCTAGGTTCGGCGCTGCGCGCTTGTGTGAGTGTGTAAATGAGCGCGGGAATCCATGGCGGCAAACGGAAATTTGATTTGAACTTGTCCTCTTGATTTTTGCACATTTCTTCTTTGAAACGTATTTTAAATTCCTAAAACGAATATACTAAGAAAGTTCGGTCTGCGTCCTAATATAATACACCTACTTTTGCTCGGTAACAGGCAGTAATCTCAGATAAAGTTAGTTTTTCTTCTGCTCATGGTGGTTCTGCAGGTTCAAACAGGCCGTTACAGTTCTAGATCAACGTTACTCCCAAATGAAATTAATCGGTCGACGACGGACTGAAACTAACCTAAAGTTAAAAAAATATGAGTGTGTACCTGAATTTGGGCAAAAATCAACCTAAAATACTTTGTTTCCGCAATTTTATTTATTAGTTCCCGCCCTACATTTGAATTCAAACTTGTCCAGACCGTATTCGATAGTGGTTCGATATATCGTTTGGTTCAAAACATCAACATAACCTCACTTAGCGCATTATCTCTCTTCTAGACCCTTCGGGTATATTTTCCTGTTTCTTCTTGAAATTAAAAACCTTAAAACCTCTTTTTGTTATTTTCTTTGTGTGTTATACAAAATCCTAAACCTGAAACAATGGTTGTGTGTAGTGTGCGAGACTGTTTTCACATTTACGGCAGGGAGTCACGCCAGTTTTTCAGATTTCCTCCTCCAAATTCCCTGCTGATGAAGTCGTGGCTGTCGGCCCTTGGGTAGGATATTCCTGATTGCTGTGTCCCTACACAATTAAAAACGTTCATGCAATTGTTTGTCTCTTTTCTTTGATTCAGTAAAATTTCTCAACACCTTTGCACCTTCAATGATTCCACATACTCTCCTCATATTTTCTCCCTCGCAGCCTTCCGCAGCAAGGGGAGGAATCTGAGCCTTCCAATCAAAGTTAGTTATGTTGGCCCTCTATTCCTACTTTTATTTCCCTGCTTCTGTTTTTCCATAGAACTGGTGCTGTAGAACCTTCGGTCAACAGTCGAATCTGCAGCTGTCACTTTCCCAATGGCGATAAGACCAAACCACCCACCCTCGTTGAACCTTTCATGCCCTGTAATACTTCAAGGTATCCTATTTTTTCTCCTAAGCCAACCCCTCCTTTTTTGCCTTTCTTCTAATGTACCAATTTATCCTAGGGAAATTATGTCACAATAAGATGTTCATTGAAAGATTTGTTCGACATCCAATTTCAGTCTTCCTTTCCTCATCTGTAAATCTATGAATAATTTTTGAATTGTGGTCAGCATCTTACCCATAAAGTCAAAGTGTTCATACCTACAACATCTTAATGCTACAATAATGCTTTCCTATGACTTAGTGAAGATACTGAAATGATTGTCATCTCAGCTCTTGAGTTGTAAGTAAAGGGCTTTTAAATTAGAGTGAATATTAGGGAGATCGTTGTTCATTCCTTGACCTTTTCAGATTATACCATAGTTTATCTTTCTCCATGTCTGTATTTATTCCCTTCTTTTCCTTCCTCAGGCAACCGAACAGAATATTTTCCCCTCCTAGACCCAGTAAAATCCCGATTCCTGTGTTCAGAAACAGTTCTAGTCCAAGGATTCCTTCAAAGAAATCCAAAAGAAGCCCTTTGTCCTCTATTGCCATTCCTGTAAAGAATGCAAGGTATCTATCTCCTCCTTTTCCTTTTTACCTTGTCTTTCTCAAGAATCTACACTATAACTGTGATCAAATCCTTAACTTAGCACTGAAACTGGATTTAACATGCCAAAGGATGGAATGTCTCGATGCGCTGCAAAAACGCTACATTGGTACACAACGATTGATACATGAAAATGGTTCGACTACACAGTGTATTGATGACAACGCCTCCCATTTCGATCTGAGTGATGTGTGCCCTTCATCAGTGTTATGCCCATATTATATGAACCATCCGGGCTCCAATCCCAGTATCTCGGTTTGCGACATTGCACACTTACTGTAATACTTTATTTCTTTACTGGACTACTCCTTGTCAATTCTTACCCATAGCTTTAAAACTGAAACTTCATGGGTGGAAAT